TATATAATATATAAAATAGTGGTCTACTGGTATCAGTATTTTACTACTTTGAATGAAGTATAGAAACTATACTATTCCCTCCACCCCTTTACGTCCCTCTGTTTCTGATGCACTTATGTTAAATATTTCTTCCTCATACATTTAGAACCATACAAGACAATGTTATAATTGGCACCTCAACCATCAAGCATAATTTAGAAAATTCAAGCAGAGAGGAAAATCAAGCTGTACGATTTTTATATTTCTGTTTTTCTTCTTCCTTGATGATACCCAAGACTCCTTTCATTGTTTTCTATTTAGAGAACTCCTTTTCACCACTATCATAGTATAAATCTGTTGTTGACAATTTCTTAGTTTCCCTTCATCCTTCATCTAAGAATGTGTTGATTCCTTTCCATATCTGAAGTATGTTTTCACCACTTGAAAAGTATTACATCACTTCCTTCTGGCCTCCATGGTTACTGATCAGATATCTGCTGTCATTTAAACTGGTTTTCCCCTCTAGGTAGTGTCATTTCTCTGTCCCTGCTCTCCAGTCTGTGTCTTCACATTTCAGAAGTTTCATTAAAATGGACCTTGAAGTGTGTTTCTTTGGATTTATAGTTTTTAAGCTTCATTCAACTTCTTGAGTTTCCAGGTTTGTGTCTTTTGCCAAATGTAGGAAGCTTTTAGCCATTATTCGAGTGCTTCTTCAGTTCCATTTGCTCTCCTTCTGTCCCTACTGGAATTCCAACTCCATAGCTGTCAGATCTTTGGGTTATAATTCGAGTTGTCCCCACATTTGTTTATTTTTTTTTCTAGTATACTTTCTCTCTGAAATTCAGTTTGGATAATTTTCATTGTCTTATCTTAATTCTTTCCTGTGTCCTATCCATCTCACCTTTAGAACCCATCCACTGAGTTTATTCAATTATTGTATTTGCAGTTCTAAAAGTTCTGTTTGGTTTTTCCCTATATTTTTGCTTCTTTGCTGAAAATTCTCATTTCTTGGCTGAGACATTCTCTATTTTCTGTTTGAATAAAACTTAGTTGTAATTGTTGGTGAAAGTATTTAAATGATTCCTATTTTAAGATCCATGTCACATAATTCTAATGTCTGTGTCATCTTGATGACACATCTGCTGATAATAATTTTCATTCAGTTTTAGATCTTCCTGGTTCTTGGTATGACGAATGCTTTTTTATTGAAATCAGGACATTTGGATGTTACGTTATAAAACTGGCTGACTTCCTCTGACACTGCTCTGACATGGAAGAGGGGACCATTTTATTTCTGTCAAGTGGGTATGGAAGTCTAGGTTCCCCATTTAACCTTCACCAACATCAAGGGCATGGGGGCTCATCATTTCTGCTGGGCAAGAGTGAAAGTTCCAGGTGGTGTCACTCATAGTGGGGAACGGAAGAAAGGCCTCATTACTGCCAAGTGGAACTGGAGTCTAAGCTCCCTGCTTGGGCCTTGCTGATGGGATCAAATGGACTGCAGTGTTTTATCTAGCGTTTAGCTGGACTAGAGCCGTTTTGTCTCAATGTTTTCTATCTTGCTATCCTGTCCCTTTCCTGGTCCTCTGGATAGAAACAGTGGGCTTTTGTTGAGACCTTTTTATCTGTGCCCATTGGCATTCTGGGTTGATGGTTCTTTTAGCTTCATGTCTGGAATATATGAGACAAAAGAAAATCTGGGGAACTCACCACTGCATTTTTCCTCAGATCCCAAGGTCCCCGTCCAGCCTCACTTTACTCTGCCTTTCAGGGTCTTCTTCTATTTGATTTGTATATAATATCAGGAGGTGTTAGTTGTATGCAGTGGGAGAATGGGGGAACGTACTTTTCTGTCCTTCCAGAAGTGGAAGTTTGGGCGCTGGGATTTTAGATCCTGCTACTGACTGCCAAAAAGGTTTACAGTAAATAAAACCGCCTATACATATGAATGCCTTAGCAGAGCTCTTATCTCATACCTGCCTCATGAAAAACAAAATGGGAGGATAGCCTTCCCTGGGTTTGCATGTCTGCTCATCCGCTATGGAGGGCATACGTGGGTGTAGCCTGGTCATAGTTTGCTGCTTCCCATAAGCCAGAGCACCAGAGTTTCACGAGCCCCTTCCAACACCCGTTGCTTTCCTCTGGTGTCAGCCAGGCTTTGAACTGTGCGTCTGTTCATGGACTCGGTGCTGGTAAGACCGAACTGGTGTTTCATTCTTCTATGGATTCCAAGGCTGACTCTAGTAAAGCTGAAGGGCCCCTCAGCCATCAGGTGGGGCAACCGCCATGCTTTTCCTATACGGGAACTGCATTTCAGAGAAAAGAACAGTCTTTCTCTGGGTCTGAATGCACATTACACAAAAGCAAAGCCAGACCCAGGAACCACACTCCCCAGCTACATGCCCAGTGTTATTTAGCCATACCAGACCGTTCGTCTACCCACCTTTCTGCTCGCAGGGAACTGTGCCGTGCCCCATGATTGGAGACTGCCAACTGCCTCCCACAAGTGCCCCCATCTGTGGGAGTGGTGGTACTCAATGGGGGTGATGGGGTGGGGACAGAGATGGGAAAAGGAATGTGGCTGACTCCACACAAGCCTGTCCTCAAGCGTGAAAGTCTGATTCAGGAGGTCAATGGTCTCGTCTTTGTATCTGAAAGACGGTATGCTTTTTGTCTCCCTAAGCCCTGTGTCTAGGTCGTTTGGGAAGCGCCTTGGAGAGTCAAGAATAAGACTCCAGGTCAAACAATGGATGACTGGAAAAGTCGGCTTGTAATCAAGAGCATGCTTCCCCATTTCACCACGGTGGGAAATCGTCAGGAGCCCAGAAAGCTCCACGAATCGGTCAGAAAATGGGCTATGGAGGGCGGGGGGCTGAATGTTTCTGATCTTAAACTTGAACGTGAGCTGTGTTGTTGAAAGTTCTCTGTGCAAACTTGACGGTGGGTGACCAACCCAAAAGAGAAGGCACTTAAATCTGCTGTAGGAAAATGTAGGAGTTGAGCTAACCTGCTCCTTGAGGGTTTCTGAAAGAGCTGCAAATATACTCCAGGCCTTGATCTACATTCCCAGTCCACCCCTTCGATGAGAAAAACGATGAAGTTCCTACCTTTTCTCTTAGAAGCCAGCCAGAAAGGCAAGCCCTAGGTGCACTGCATTCATGTCCCAGGGTGCCTGAGAACAAGAAGCCAGTTAGTAGGGCACAGAAAAGGATTCCAATTCAACTCTCTGGCCCTAGTGTCGTTTCTACAATTCATTTAACGCTACCGTTTTCCTCCCTAGGAATCCAGACATCATCTAAGTGTCTGAAGTTCAGCACTGGCGATTCTAGTGGTAGTTCTAGGGACAAGGATGATGACAGAAGGGGCCATGAGAGCCACTGATTTCTTGAATCTGACAAAAAAAAAGCCTGCAACATCGCCAGTCTATCTCCAAGATTAGCCTGGTTAGCAGGAGCTGCAGCAAACACAATGGCTGTTATCTCAGGATATTTGGCCCTCAGAGGAGTGGCTTGCTTAATCTCTGAAATTAATAGAACAGAGAGGAAATGGCTCTTATAGAGCCGTGGGCCTGCTTCCTTCCTGTTCATAGAACTAGAAGCCCTGGGTTCTGAGGTAATGTCATTTCACATAACTAGAGGGCCTGCCTTCTCCTGTTCCCAGGGCAATCCACTTTCGGTTTATTTTAGTATTCTGCTATGTGCACAGGTGTGGGGGAGGCACTGATTGGATCATGCTTCTCTTTTTTCCCTCACTGTCAACAGTGGACTAAGTATGTGCTGTCAGGTGGAGTGTGGTGACGTTTACAAAACTTTGTTGACTAGGGCCCCAGCTCTCCTAGAAACGGCAGTCAGATGGGATGGCGATGAGGGAGTGACTACTGAGCCGGAAACCTGTGCTCCAAACTGCCAGCCCCTAGTCAGGCACCTTCTAGAAGAAAACTGATGGCCTCTATCCTAAAGACCCTTTTGATTTTGTGCTTCTCTTTTATGGTCAGCAATTGAGTCCACAAAGGAAAACCCCTGGTAGTGTCCCCAGAGTCCATGTTGAGTTTTGACAGAACTTCAAATTCCTCCTTTGTTTCCCACATTTGCACTCACTTGGATTACATCTTGGAGAAGAAGGTGGGTGGGTTGTAGTTGCAAGGGTCTCTTCCCCTACTCCCCCATTCCACCGACACTCTTGGAGAAGTGTGACTGGTAGGTAACTACTTTGGCTGAGATCAATGTAGATCAAAATGCACATATTTGGGGTGGAGGAGGGAGCAGTAGTTGGCCTTTGAATCAGTCTCTGGAGCAGCCATCCATAACCTCACTCTAAAAAGCTGTCATTGCTCATGCCATTTGCAGGTTTAGCGTCTCCTGGCAGACGGCCTTTAGCGCCCTTAGTAAGCCTCGCCAAAACTTCCCATCCATTGCTTGGAGTCACACTTTGGACTTGGTAGGAATCAGCCCTGCTCCTCTTCCATGGCACACCTTTGTTCATTGCCCTTGGCTCTGAGTGGTGTGGCTATTCTCCGAATGCCAAGCTGTCCTAGAAGGCCAAAGATTTGCCCCAGTTGAGGGAAATCCAAAAAAAAAATATGTCTCAGGCTGAGAGAAAAGTTCCCTCAGATGAATCTTCTTCACAGTTGAAGCTGCATCTGTCTTCTTGGAAGACGCATATGGCCTCGGAAAGTGATGACACTGAGAAAGCCCACTCCTTTGCCTGGGCCTGACAGATGCCCATTGCTACCGTCACCGAGCAGCCAGGGCAGCACGTAGTGTGCTGTGGTCGCAGCTGAATTTTAGTGGCTGGTCAGTCCCCGTAGCATCAGGAAGATACCCCATGCTGACATCAAGCTGCGCTGTGCACACTAAGGCTCTCAACAGCGGGGTGTTTATAGACAGAGGCACAGAGATTGTCAGATTAAAGGCGGACTTGCCTGTGGATTCACCAAGGAACCTGCTGTCCAAATAAGTTACTTCGAGGCCTGGAAGGCTAGCAGCAGAATGAGATCCTTTGGAGAAGCTGGGCTTGCATTTCCTGGAGGTGGCCTTAGCTAGGTCTCAGATGTCTCCATTGTTTGCTCTCATTCTGATGCTTTGTAACATCCAGATAGCACCGTGCACCCTGGTCCCGGGAAACCATGGGCAGCTGGAAGCACATTGCTCGCACCACTCCCCCTCATCCTAAAGGCAGCCGTAACATAGAGATCTGCTTCGGGCGTTCAACTTAACTGGTTCTTTTATTCCTTCCTCAAAAACAAGCTAACAAAACACTCATGTCTCAAAGCAAAGTTTTAAAATTCTATCACTCCCAGAGGAGAGTTCTTTTTAAACAGCTGTAGGACTTACATGCAAATAATTGAGAAACCTCTTGCAGGAAAATGTGCATCTAATGTGACAGCTATTCTTAGCCTAAGAACAGGGCTTAGGACACCGAGTTTCAGTCTTTCATCTGCTCCTAAGTAGCTATGGAGGTTTGTCCATCCCCTGCCCCTATGAGAACAAGTGCCCTGAACCATGAGCGAGAATAGCCACATTCACTGAGCACTGACTAGGTGCTAGGCATTTTGTTAAGCATTAGAGGGATGCTACCTTCTCTAACCTTGAGAGGAAGAGACTATTATTATCTCTGGGAAAATGAGCCTCAGAAAGGTCAAGCAACACGACCAAAGTCACAGATCTAAGAAGTGGCACATCTCAGAGCCCACTATCCTCACTGCCATACTCCGCTGCCTCTTAGATCTAAAAGTGTTAAAGACCGAATATAGAAGGCAGTAGTCCCCATAAGACACCTCAGCAGTGCACATACCTTTTTAGTACCATTTGTTCATTCATTCAGGAGCTTAATTGCTTAATGACTCTTGTGACAGGAGAAAAAAGAAGAGTTTTGCCTTTTGAACAGGTGAGCATCTATCCAAGGTTAATAACACATCCGGTCTCCACAGTTCTTGTCTGGAGTTTTAACAGGAGACAGCAGTTGGTCCTTCCCTTTGAAGTTGAGATGTTGACTCCTTTCCCAGATCTGTAGATCACTGATTGCTAGTGTGAGACCCTCCAAGGCATTAGCTCTGCAAATTGGTACTGCTCTGGAGCCTGTGTGGAGTTGGGACTCGGTATGGACGTCACAGGTCATCTCTGAGTCAGTCTGTATCCCACTGGAAGTTGCAAAGATTGCTTCAACCCTGAGCAGCCACCTGTTTATTCCATTTATAAGGCAGCTACTGGACCAAATGGGAAAGTTAAGGGCATTCAATGAACCACTGGAGAAAAAAGGTGCTGCACTCTATTTTCTGTGTTCAGCCACTTAACCTTACTAAATGCCTCGCTCTGAAGGTTACAGTGAATTGGCAATGCCCAATCATCAGGAGCTTGCCAAACACTCTATGGCTAGAAGGGAGGGACTATTCTTATCATTCTCCTTCTTTATGGATTAATACAATGAGATTTAAGAAATTCAATGACTTGCGGAGAGATGGCCATGAAGAAGGTGGGGAATCATATCGAGGGTTTCCATTTGGGTGACCACAAGTTCAGTGTGCTTTTCACCTGCAGAATGACCAAAATCAACCTCTAGCCAGTCCCCTTCCCCCCTCAAAAAGCAAGTGGAGCTCAGGCAGGAAGAGAGAAGAGCCCTGCCCTCCGTGTAACAGAGTGTGGATATTTGAATGGCTACAAAAATACTAACCCCATTCTATCTGTCCCTCTTCTTTCAACCGGTGCCCTTAGAAAAGCCTAGTTGGAATCTCTCTATTCACCTCCTCCCATGATGTGTGATCTGTTCAAGAGCTGCACTCATCAGCCTTGGGAGCACATGGTTTCCCTCACAAAAGTGGTGCTACTCTCAGGACTGAGCGCTCAAATTTGGCCCCAGGGTGTGACTACCTCTTAGTGAGACCTTGAACAAGTCCCCTTTCCTCTTGAGGTCAGAGAGCCCCAGTACAATCTCGAAGGCCCTGTCTGTCTCTGGCCTCCTGCCACATACTCAGAGCCTCTTCTGCATCCAGGAGTTCCATCTAGGATCAGGTTATTCCTGGGTTTCCTTCACTAAGAACAAATGCGTCCTACTCTGAAGGTCATGGTGGGATTGGAAGGAGTGAATGGTTGAGTGGCTCTCTTGAGCAAGGTGCTTTGTGTGTCCTACCTCATTTGCTCCTGTGATATTTCATCAAAGAAGAGACTGACCATCAGGGAGGATAGTGAGTTTCCCAGTGTCACAGGGTAGGAGGCTGTAAATTTGGACCTCACACCCACGTGCCCTGCCGCCAGAGCTCCTCCCACTCTGCTGCTTCCCTTTCCTGAATTAGGAGCTCATATATCCATGGAACCTTCTGCAAGCCATTCTGGGTGCTCAGGCAAAACAGAGATCCAGATTTCTGAGAGCTTTCATCCCAGTGGCAGACACAGCTCATGACCAGGTAGAGTGGAAGAATCTTTACTTCATTGTGGTGGCTTTCTGGAGCCTTCTGACCAGCATCATATACCACTCAGCTGGCAGAAAAACACCTGCTTCCAAGTCCCGCAGGGAGGTGGGGACAGCCAGCTAGGAACTGGTGTGACCTTCGGAAGTCATGTGGAAGACCAGGTTCAAGGGTTGGTTTCTTTGCCAATATCCCCTGCATTTGTAGGTGCAACTCTGGCCCCAAGAGAGGGAATCTCCCATCTAGGGGCCCCACTGTTCCCAGGGAGCAGCTGATCAAGGAGGCAGCTCCCTATCACTTACTGAGCTCTTAATGTGAGCCTCTGGGCCTCAGTCTGCTCACCAGTAAAGTGGACATAATACCCCTGCTCCTTGCCTGTGTCAGGGTCTCTGGGGTGATGATGAACAAGAGGTGGACACGAACATTTTTTAAAACTCACA